CACACCCAACTAGGCAGCTGTTGGACAGGAACAGTGAATGAGGCCCTGGTTGTAGAGGAACATGCGGCCACATTGAGGACATGAGACAGTACAGAACACAAGGATGTTTGGCTGCCTAAAGTCCCTCAGTATTGCTGTGAGCTCAGCACAGAGTTGGGAACATCTCCATGGGTGGATGGCACCCTGGGCATCATAGCTCTCCAGAGGGGCAGGGTACAGTTCTATGCTCAACTGACTCABCCTGGCAGTGTGAAGCAGCAGGTCCCTCAGGGCTGACATGGAGATGAGGTTCCCCAAAAAGCACAAGATCCTGAGCTGGGAGCAGCGGCTCAGGGCAGGCAGGATGGCTTGGAGCTGGGAGTCTGTGATCTCACAGGCTTCCAAGTCCAGGCTCCTCAGGGTGGCTGCAACCATCTCCAGAAGAATTTGGAGGGGCTCTGGACTGAAACTGGTCAGTTTGAAACCCCTTAGATCCAGTCGTCTGAGCTGGCTGGTGTTTGGGCATCGGGAAAGATAATTCCAGTTGGAATCTGAGAGCGGGCAGTTGGTTATTGAAAGGGCCTCCAGGGGGGACTTCAGGTGCCTAAGGAGAAACAAGGCAGTTAGTTCTGAGGGAGAAAATGAATTGGCCCCAATCCAATGTCACCATTAGAACATAGTTGACATTATGCAGAATCTGCCTGTTCAGGTAACCCCATTTCCATCTGAGACTTTTACCCCACCACTTTTTGACCAGGTGGATCCACCATCTTTAAGAACCCCATCCTCAATAACAAGGGGAAAGCCAAATCTCTGGTCAGAGGAGGTCAAGGGGAGTCATGTAGGAAGTTCAAATCCAGGCAAGATGCAACAAAAACTACTGAGGTTAACCACCCTCAGCAAGGCCTCCATCCCTGCTTCTCACCCTGGACTGCAGAATTATTACCTGGAGCTCAGAACAGCCTTCCTTACATGGGTGTAAGAGATGGGTATCTCTGCTCCCAGCTGGGGAGCACAGAGCTTCCCTGTTGGGGTTACAGGAGTAGGGACTTCCCCTCCTTCACTGCCCTCTCCTCTACCCTGCTTTCCCCCGTCTGCTACACAGGCCTCTCAGGAAAGGAACCTCAACCAATCTCACTAAATCCTGTCCCCATCAGCTGGTTTCCCAGCATCGTGGCACTTCCCAGACCATGGACCCTGGTTTAGCCCTTTGCTCTAACACAGGTTAGGAGATGGAGCTTCAGGATACAA